ATGAGGATTGGAGGGCTTGAGATAGTATCAGGCAGAGGGAAGCTGTCGGAGTGTTGGAAGGGCTCGGCATAGAAAAATGAATGGATGTTCCAATTTGGGATAAAATATCGCCGCCCAATAAAGGGACCGGGCAGGATGGGAGAACTAGGAATGAATGAAGGAATGGAAAATTGCCAATTATGTATGACAGTAAGGGAGTCTGGAGAGGGCACTGTAGTTGGCCTTCTATCCCTACAATAGAAGTCTGAGAAAGGGAGGTAGGTCCCCAATATTCTCGTAATGCAGAGAAGCTGGCACCAGTATCCAATAAGAAAGAAATGGTCCTACCTACCACAGTTAAGGTTACCCTGGGTTCCTGGGCGGTGATCCACGTTGGGCCAGGTGTGCCAGGGCCTCTTCATAGTCCCTCAGTGTCACTAGACCTATCAGGTCCGCAGGTTGGGGAGCTGTGGGGCTGACGATCGAATGACGGTTGGACGCCAAGGGACAGTCTATACCCCAATGTCCCCTCTGGTGGCATTTGGGACAGGGCTTAGTTGGCACCTTGGGATTAGGACAGTCCTTTGTCCAGTGGCCTTCCTGATTATACCTGTAACAGGGGCCTGGTGGTTGGGAGCCCTTTTGTAGGGTTTTTCTTCCCTGTGGCGCAGGTGGACTGTTCGAATTAAGAGCCTGTGTTAATCATTGACATTTTTTTGTAGCTTTAAGGTCATCTCGGCCATGGTAGGCCTTGAATGCTGTAGCCAGAACCTCTGCTTGAGGGGTCAAGGGCCCTCCGTCAAGCTTTTTTAGTTTAAGTCTAATATCGGGGTAGTTCCAAGAAAAGAAATGTATCATAATTAATCTCTGGCCATCCACAGATTCAGGGTCTAGTTTAGTATGTTGGCGGAGGCCATCCATCAGGCTTTGTAAAAAGGTGGATGGATTTTAATTTTTGTCCTGTATGATTTCATTTAACTTTTCATAATTAATGGACTTCATGGTGGCTCTGCAGAGCCCATGAAGGAGACAATTAATGTACCTGTTTTGAGCTTCAATTCCCACCTCTGTGTTGTAGTCCCACTCTGGGTCCTGATCAGGGACTGCAGCAGCACCTGCCGGGTGGTGATTGTTGGTTAAATGTTCTTGGTCTGCATGTGCACGAGCCTGATCCAGCACTCTTCTATTTTCCTCGGGAGTTAAGGCATTGGTTAAAACTACAAAAAGATCATGGTAAGTTAGTTGATAAGACTGAGTCAAAAGTTGAAATTGTTTTATAAAGGTAGTTGGATCGGCTGTAAAAGAACCAAGTCTGGCCTGAATGAGAGCTAGTTCAGACATAGGAAAAGGAGTATGAACATGGACAATTCTTTCAGCTCTGGCTACTTTGCAGAAGGGTGTCATCGTGTGGCCCTTGTGTGTCTTGGAGCGGGTGAGAGGTGGAGCATAGGGTGGGGTGGTGGGTGAGTCAGAAGAAGTGGGAGGGGTAGGAGATTGCGAAGGAGGGGAGGAGTCGGATGGTGTAGGAGGAGGGGTGAGTGGGGAGGATCATCTGCCGGGTCTGGTTGGTTTGAAGAATCGGAAGGAGGGGGGTCAGTTGTGAGGCGACCTTGAAACAATAGAAGTATGGGAGAGACTTTGGTGGTGGAACAAAGAGAGGGTTGGCTAGCCAGATAGGAAAAACCCTGGATATATGGGATCTCCGACCAACCATTTTCCTTGTCGCTCGCACAAGTTGTAAAGGTCTCTAATCAGACCCGATTCAAAGGAGCCGTTAGGCGGCCAGACGTTTTGATTGCCTAATTTATATTGGGGCCAAATTTGAGTAGACAAGCGAATTAGCCATTTGGGTTTTAAATCAAGACCCTCCAAATTCCTGAGTAAGCACCCCAAAGGAGAGTCGTCGGGTATGGAGGAATCAGAGCCCATGACCACCAGGACAGGAGGTTATCAGAAGACCAGACGTCTCCGAGAGTTCTGATAAAACTCCTCTTTTTCTAGTCCTGGTCTAGAAAGCTGAAATTTGGTCTCCCGCGAAGGCGTACCTTACGCGAGATAGGAATTTATGCGAACTAAGTCCCGGACTCAACGGAGGCAAACCCAGTTTGCCAAAACTGAGGGACAGAGGACCTGGGCCCCGGCCTTGTCCCGGACGTGGTCTTAGTGGGTGGTCTGGAGTCTGGGGTCCCCGTTACCCTGAGGACTTCTCAGAAGGGGAACTTACCCAAAAAGGTGTGGGTCGGAAGATCAGCAGGTCGGTGGTGGCTGCGAAGATGGCGACGAGGAGAATGGTCGCGGACGTCGGGCGGGGGCTGAGCAGGGGCACCCTGGAATCTGGGTTTCGGGCCCCAGGCGTTTTAGCCTGTGGGCCTGGCAATCCCAGATCCCACTTCTGACACCAATGAAAGGGGGGTTCGCGTGCCCTTTCGGGTGCCCCTTCCCAATTAGGCCACTCACGCACCGAGAGGTCCGGCAGGAGATCTTTATTGTAGGGAGGCGAGCAGGAGGCGGAAGGTAGAGAGAGAGAGAGAGAGAGAGGAGGAAGAAGAAGCAGAAGGAGAGAGAGAACAAAGAAAGGAAGGTCCTTTTATCAGTTTTGGGGTGGGCTATTGCTTATCTATGAGGAGTGAGCTACTTTTAACCTGTCACAGGCCAGATTGCTTTTATGGGCCCAGTCCTGCAGACACAGGTTTCAACTTCCTGGACCACTGTGGCCGTGGGGGGGAGGGAAACCAGAGATAAGGGCAAGAGGTCATTTTAGGAGCCAAGAGGTACCAGGAGAATGCAGCCTGTGAGGCGGCGTCACAGCATACTTTAACATGATCAATTCCCTAACAGACAGTGCCACTTCAGCCACTGCTGGGCAGCTCTGCAGCCCTCTGCCAGCCACTCAGGCATTTGAGGCAGCTGTGAGTGGCAGGTGGGTGGGTGGTGATGCAGGGTGGCGGTGGCAGCGGCTCTGCCTGGTGCATTTCTTGAGATCTGGGAGCCAGGCAGTGACCCTACCTGGCCCCACAGTCCTGGAAGTGGGCTCCGGAACATACCGGTGGGGCCAGTCCATGACGGTGGTGTGGGGTGCACACATGGGTAGGTGACCTGGGTCCTGGGTGAGCCGGGGAGGGGGATGCTTCGGAGACACAGGCTGTGTCCTTGGAAGCTGAGCCTGGTGGTCCACACCTGGAATCCTGGCCCTCTGGGAGTCTGAGGCGGGAGGATCATCAGTTCCATCTCAACCTGGGCAACTTAGCAAGACCCCATCTCAGAATTAAAAAGGGCTGAGGGTGAGGGTCCGTGCATGGCTCTGGATCATGAAGGACAGCTTGGTCATATTGTGGTGCTGTCCCATGAGGGTGATGGCAGGACACTGGGTGATGGCAGACCGTTCCCTCCTTGGGCTGGTCTGACAGTGCCCAGGACAGCCCTCATAGAGCGGCACTGGCCTCTTCAGCCCCCCGCCCGCCGCTCCTGGGAGGGGCTCGGCTGCGTCCTCTGGGGGTGTGGCAGCACCGCCCACAGCGTCACACCTGTCAAGGAGAGGGAGGACCTGGCCACAGGCTGCAGAGGGGAGCTGTTAATGGGGGCCATGCTGAGCCCCTGGCCAGGCCTCCACAGGCTGCTCAGGTCTGCAGAGATTGCTGTGCCCAGGCACAGCCCTCTTTGAAGCTTCCTCTGACAGCCGGGAACCCTGGACCTCAGATTTCGGGCTCTGAGCTGTGTCGTCTGTCTGTCTGTCTGTCCATCTGGTCAGCGGGCCCCCACTGAGACTGGCTGTTGGTCAGATGAGATGGGGTCTGGTCTGCTGCGCTGCATGGTTTGGGGGGTTTCCTGCTCCCCACATCCTTCCTTTTTCCTTGTATCATGTTTTACAAATTTCCTTTGTCCTCTCATTGGGGGGTTCTGGCAAGGGGGACCCCACGCTGTGTGCCACGTTTACCTGGAAGAGGTGACAGCACTGCCCAGCTGAGGTCCCTGCCCCTCTGACCTGCAGGGACAGAGGATTGGACACAGCTGGCTGGGGTCTCACACAGCAGCCAGGGGGGGACCTGCGTAGGCGTTGGGACCCTCTGGGGAGGACTGGGGTGACCCAGAGGGAGCGAGGAGGCTGAGTTTGAGGAAGGAGCCGCAGCTAGCAGGGCCGGGCAGGCAGGAGAGGTGGCCATTCCCCCTGTCCTAGGGCACAGGGCCCCGGCCCTCTGCACTTGGGAATCAGGTCGGAGCCAGCAGCAGGTTTGGGTCCTCGTCAGGACCCTGGCAGACCACCCAACTTCAGCTCTTCCTGCTGTTCTCCACTGTGGGGACAGGGACCTGGGCTTCTCCCCCGCACTGCACATGGGGCCTGGACTGGAGGCTGAGGCATGTCCTGGCCCTGTGCATGCTGCCCACACCTCCGGGGCTGGGTCAGGAAGTGGCTCATCTCCCGTGGCCCTCAGCCACTGTGGCTCATGCCAGGGGTGGCTTGGGCACACGCAGCCTTTTAGACATCGCTCCCTACCCTTTTGTTCTGAAAGATGTTGAACACCAGCTTTCTAGCTCAGGGCTGGCTGTCTCTGAACTAATTTGGTGACCCGTAGCTTCTGATTTTCTCCAGAAAGCTGCTTTGTGCTCCATTGCATGAACATGCCAGCGTGTGCAGCCCCTCAACCAGAGTCCCTTTGTGACCCTGCGGTCCTGCAAGTCTCCAGAGGCCCTGCTGGCCTGGCAGAGCCCCTTGCTGGCACGGGGGAGTGGTCTGGTGGCTGTGACTGGGGAGGGGACTGGGCACCCTCCCCACAGGTGGCCCCATTCCCTCACCGTCCTGGTCCACGGCATGGTGTCGATGCAGCTCACAGAGCCCTTTCCCCTGCTCTGGGCGGGCTCCTCTGGCCCTCGGCTGGTTGCTCCTGCGGTTCCTGAGGGAAGAGGGGCAGAAGCCCATCGCCAGGCTTGGGGGCCCTCTCAACCCCACACCAGTAACCTCCAGATTGCGGCAGGCTCGTGGGCCCCAGCCGGCCTCCTATGCCACATTCTGCCATGTCTTACAGGTCCTGGGCTTTGAGATTGATGCGGTGAACTCAGTCCAGTTTTCCAACCACACAGGTGAGGCCTTGGCATGGGGTGCGAGGGTGGAGTAGGATGGAGAGCAGCCCCTCAGGCAGGAGTCAGGGATGGGCACCTCCTGACTCCCTGTTATTCTCGGGAGGCCCCTGTACCCCCTTCAGTCCCCTCCGGGTGGCCTTGGTGCACTCTGGGCGGGCGTCGCCCGGCCTGCATCTGCTCAGGTGGGGCTGTGAGCAGGCAGGCACAGCCCGTGCGGGTGCAGCGCCCCACTGCTGCTGCTGTGTCCTGGCCGCAGGCCATTTTGGGGCATTGGAGTTGGCTCAGGAGGATGTGATTGTGTCACCTCTGTGGCAAAGAGCTGGGGTACCCGGCTTGGCCCCTGGAGTGCTGATTAAGGGCACAGCGGGGGGGACCAGTGCCCCCCCACAGCGCGGGACAGGTTGATGTGGCTCCCAGCCTGAGGCCCACTCCCCACAGGCTACGCACACTGGAGCGGCCAGGTGCTGAACTCCAGCGAGCTCCAGGAGCTGTACCAAGGCCTGAGGCTCAACAGCGTGAACAAGTATGACTACGTACTCACGGGTGAGGCTGCTGCTCCGGGGCAGGCAGGAGTGGGGAACGCTGCCACCTGCAGGGCAAGCCCACTTGTCAAGTCCCTAGCTGAAAACATTTTGTACCCAGTTAAAAGTGACCTGTGGTTATTATTGAAAATGGAAAGCAGAAACAGGAAGAAACTGTAGTTAGTCATCCACCAGTCACCATGAGTCCCTAAGTTTAAAGCTTCATGGAACCAGGCATGGTGATGCACACCTTCATCCCAGCACTCTGGGAGGCCCCATTCCGAAAGCCTCTGCCTGTGTTGGGAACTGTGTGCTCCCCCGCATGACCTCCAACTACAGGCGCCTCGTGCTGGCCCAGGCCCGGTCCCAGGCTGTCCCCGCAGCCCACATGCGACGGGTGGCCTGGGTGGCCGCCACCTCACGCCTGACTCAGCATCGCTGGTTTCCCTCCGAAGGCTACACGAGAGACACGTCCTTCCTGACCATGGTGGTGGACATCGTGCAGGAGCTGAAACAGCAGAACTCACGGCTCGTGTACGGTGGGTGCTGGGCCGGGCGGGGCGAGGGCGGGGCTGTCCTGGAGTTGGCTCAGAGCATCTGTGCCCCGTGGCCGC